GCCTCTCATCCCGTGCTCGCCCCGGTCGGCCTGGACGGTCCTTTGTTGGGTGGCTGATGTCGCTTGCGGTCGAATTCTCATAGATGCGTCTGGCGTCCATCGTCTGTCTGTCAGTGCTGGCTTGATTTGAAATCAGCTGGCACGCAAGGAAGGACGTCCGGAGGCCGCCCTTGCCCTGTCGCGTGCGCTCTGTTGGCACGCGGTTCAAGCTCTCCCTGCCTTCCCCCCTCTGTCGCTCTCGCCGGCTTGCTCTCACTGCACCCGCTGTGGAATATGTTGTCGCCGTTCTGCTTATCATCCCGTGGTCGCCCCTTTCGGCCTGGGGGGTCCTGTGTTGGATGGCACATGTCGCGCGCGGTCGAGTTAACGCAACAATGCGCATGGCATCCATCGCTGGCCTCTCAGTACCATATGTATAAACATAGTACAGTATTTGTGTTTGAGTATGGATGGCGGGCGATCTACATTATACAGCTTATGCTGTGCAACTTACGTGGTGCAACAGACACATACAAGTATCTAATATAGTGTGCAACATCTGTGCTGCAACTTGCGTGGTGCGACCTACGGTGTGCAATTAATTTCTGTTCGCAGTGAGTTGTCCACTCCACTGCTCGCGCAATCATCCCACCCACCCACCCGCAACTTGGTTTGCAAAATTTCTTGAGACCGTGACGGTGGGTACCACATGGCACTTGGCAACAACAGCGACGCCGACGAGGACAGCGACAACGACGATGACGACGCCGCCGACAACGACTACGACGACACCGACGACGTCTTCAACGACTTCGACGGCGCCGACAACGACGACGACGACGACGCCGACGACGACGACGACGACACCGACGCCGACGACGACGACGATGACAACGACGACGACGATGACGACGGACGACGACGACGACACGACGACGACGACGACGACGACGACACCGACGACGACGACGACGACGCCGACGACGACGACGACGACGACGCCCGCCGCCACGACGACGACGCCGACGTCGACGACGACGATGACAACGACGCCGACGCCGACGACGACGACGAAGACGACGACGACGTCGCCAACGAAGACAACGAGGAAGGAGGGAGGACGACGACGGCGACAACGACGACAACGACGAGGGAGGAGGGAGGACGGCGACGACGCGAACGACGAAGAAGGAGGAAGGACGGCGACGCCGACGACGGCAACGACGAGGGAGGAGGGAAGACGACGACGACGACAACAACGACGACGACGACGACGACGGTGACGAAATAGGAGGGACCGACGACGAGACGCCGACGACGGACGACGACGACGACGACGTGGGAGGAGGAGGACGGACGACCACGGCGACAACGACGACGGAAACGACCACGACGCCAAAGAGGACGACGACGACGAACACGAGAAAAGGCAGAGGACGACGTAGGCGACGACGACGCGGGAGGAGGGAGGACGGCGACGACGACGACGACGACGACGACGACGACGCAAGAGCGCGCGCGCACGCTTTTTTTGAAAGTCCGTAGGTTTTCGTAATTTTTTTTGACGCACGATTTTGAAATCCTTCCGAAACTGATGGGTTTTGAATGTTTTCGGCGTGCGCCCGCGACGACGCGCGCGTCTGCACTTCGTCCCATTTTCTGCAGAGGGTTCTCGCGACGGCACACGCGCAAGGGCGTTCGACAGATTTCGACATGCGCGCGCGAAGCCCGTTTGGTAGCATTTTGTGAACATCTTGAAAAACCGATGGTTTTCTTAAGATTTCGCAAGAGCTCGCGCGGAAGCTTTTTTAGCAAATCAGTGTTGCGAAACCCTGTGTTTTTGTATGTTTGTTTTGGAAACTCGATGGCGAAATCCTTCCCGCACCGAAGGTTTTTGAAGGATTTCGGCATGCGCGCGCGACGACGCGCGCGTGTGCACTTCGTCCCATTTGTTGCAAGGGATTCGCGACAAGGTGCTATGTTAGAACAACAAATGTCACCGCATAGTGTTTTCCACAAGGGAACTTTAGGGGGGGGAACCCGGCCTGGCTGGGATGATACGATTTTATATTTAGGAGGACGAGTGGTCAGAATCATAATTGATTTACATACCCGAAAGGGGAACCGATAAGTCTGGGGGGGGGATAGAGTCTATTCTTTTTTTAGAAAGGAGAATCTATGCTGTCAATTTCACCAGGCCGAAGTTGAATATGCCCACTCCACCGCTCGCGCAACCATCCCACCCACCAGCCCGCAATTTGGTTTGCAAAACCGTGCTAAGGCGATTGCGATGACTGCTTGGCGCTGGCTGGCCCGTCCTCGCGGCTGCGGTGGCGCGCGCAATATCGCGCGCCGAGCGGCCAGCTAGTCTGGCGCGGCCAACGCGGCCGCGGTGGCGCTGACCGCTGGGCACTGACCAGCGTGTTACGCAGGCCGCGCTGATACGCGGGCACTTCAGCACGATTCGGTGATCTGGGCGGGCGCGGTCTCATGGCGACGTCGACGACGGCAGACACGATGATGATAGTAACGATGTTGGTGACGACGACGACGACCATGACGACGGCACGGCCGGAGCCGATGTTGTTCACGCCGATGACAATGATGGTGCGCACGTGTCGGTGCTTAGTGTTTCTGAGCGATTACGACATGCGCGCGCGGCCGTCGGGCGCGAATGGCCCGCACGTCGTTCTGAGATACGGATTGTGCCTTCCCCACCAAGCACGCGCAAGGACGCTTAACTTATCTCGACTGCGCGCGCGATCGGCCCGCTCGGTCGCATGTGATGCAATGTGTTGCCAACTGGTGGTTTGTATTGAGATTTTGCAGGAACGCGCGCAAACATTATCGAGACAACATGGTGAGAAACAGCGCGTGTTCATCGAGTGGCCTTCGGCCTATCCCGCCACCGTTCTTGGGTTTTGGGTTCGGAGTTTCTTGGATGTTCGTTTGGGTATCGTGGGAGGTCTTTCGGGGGCTTTTAGGACACATGTTTGAAACCCCTTGTGGGCCGTTTGCGGGATTATTGGGGCCTCTTTTTGGGCCTCTTGGGGCCTGTATGGGGGAATCTTGAGCTCTTTTGAGAGTTTCTTGGGGCCTTCTGGAGGCGTTTTGGGGCGGAAGGCTCGAATTGCCGGTTGGGGTTCCCCCTCTTTGGCCCTTCTTGGGCCCTTCTTGGGGCCTTTTTGGGCGATCTCGGGCGCCTCTTGGGCAGTTGATGGGCCCTTTTGGACAGTGTTGGTTCCTTCTTGGGGGCCTTTTGGGAGGTTCTGGGGCGGTGTTGGGGGCCTCTGAGGCCATCTTGGAGCGTTGGGAACCCGAACGCACGATAACACGACAAACATAACAAACAAAGGAACATCAATGATGTTTGCCTGCTTGGGCCATCTTGGGGGTCCTCTTGGAGCGCCCTTGGGGCTTTTGTGGGGCCTCTTGAGTCTTGGGCCGTTTTGGGGCCATCTTGGGCGGCTTGGAGCGCTCTTGGGTTGTCTTGGAGGTCTCGTGGGCGCTTCTTGGGCCCCTCTGGGCCCGGGTTGGGGCCCCCTGGCTTTTGGAAAAGTCACGCGTGGCTGCCCAGGAGCGCTCGGGAGCGCCCAGGAAATTTTATAATTTTGGGCCCTGGTCCCTAGTGTACACGAATCCCCCGGTCCTGAGTACACAGAACAAAACACATGAGAGCCTGGGGGTAACTCCACTTTGTGTCTCGAGGCACGGTGCCTGATATGTTTCCCGGACGCATTGTTTTGAAATCCGTGCAGGAATTATGGTGTTTGAAGGATTCCGTCATGTGCGCGTGACGACGCGCGCGTGTGCATGTCGCCCCGCATGTTGCAGCATACGTTTGCCAGTTCATTATTTGTTTGGGGAAAAACGAGTGCGCGCGCAGAGTTTTATTTGACGAGGATGGTGGGGCTGTCGAACCTGTCCTGGCTGGGATGGTATGGGGCAGAATCATGTATCAATTGCACATCCCCAGAACGGACCGATAAACCGGTGGGTGGGTGTGTGTGTGTGTGTGTGTTTGTGGGTGGGTGGGTGGGTGGCAGATCTTTTTTGAGGAGTGATAATAAGTATGGCTACGCTGTGCGACCCATGTGGTGCGCAATCCATGTTGTGCACTTTGAGTGGAGAAATCAATGTGATACAACATACGTTGTTCAATCTACGTTGAGCAGTTCTTGCTGCACAATATATGTATATATTCACATATATAGATATATTAAATAAATATATACATATGAACAAATAGATTCATGGCGCAATCTATGCGGTGGAATCTCAGTGGTGCAGTCTATGTGGTGCAGTCCTTAATGCGAGGCGGCGACGGGGCGGTGACGGCAGCAACAAGGCGGCGGACCCGACAAACGAGCCCAAACGACGGGCGGCGACGGGGCGGCGAAGGCGGCAACAAGGTGGCGGACCCGACAATCGAGCCCAGCTCCCCAGAACGCAGGCGAGAATCGCTAAGTGCAAGCACTGTGGAATATTCTCAGTGGCGTTTGAGGGCCCTCCGGAGCCATTTTCTATGCATCTCGGGGCCATTCGGTCATCCTTGGTTTTTGGTGGCGTTTGATGGCGTTTTCGAGGCCTCTCTGGGCCGTCCTGCAGGCCTCTTTTGCTCTCTTTGTTGTCTGGTGGCGACCCACTTGAAATCCTAGGGCAACCCAGCGCGGCTAGGAGGCTGATTGTCCCCCCCCCCCTCCAGCAGTCTTTCCTGATATCACAGACCCCCCCTTCAGTAGACAGTGGAAATGGAGCAAGACTGAAGAGACAAGAGGCAAGGCACCAGAGACAGAAGAGGGACCCCAGGACAGCAGCAGTCCAGCGGGATCTTTTGCAGTCTTGCGCCCCAGAGGTGGGCCCGCGTATGCGCCCCGTTGGTGTGAAGAGGGCTGGGAGGGCAGGCTGCAGAGCCCTGAGAACTACTTGACCGGCGACCTCGTGTATAGAAGATCGGTGGCGACGCCAGGACAACCACATCGAGGCACACTCCTTATACGGCCTGGGCCACGGCGTCGTGAATGCTTTGGCCGCACAGAGAAAGGGCGGCTCGAAGCAGAACAGTTCTGATTCAACACCTGGTATTTTCCCTCACTGCGGGACGTGGCTGGCCATGTGGGGGGGGGGCCTATTATCCATGGCTGCGGCGCCACCTCCAGCAGAAGGACTCGGGAACGACAGAGAGAGCGAGAGAGGACACACAAAAAGACGCCGAAGCCGCTGGCCAGCGCCTCTGCCTGCATGCTCATCGCTCCCTCGCTCCGCACCGACCTGATCGCCACCACGGGCCACAATCCCAGGAGATCCTGATCTGGGGAGCCCAAACGTGACATAAACAGAATAACTCGGGGTCGGCGCCGGAGGCGCCGCCAGGGGGTTCCAGCGGGGATCCGAGAAGTCCGCGCGGACCTCCGAGTTTTATGTTTGTGTCATGTTTCGGTTCCCCTATGATCCATGATAGATCGGGCGTCGATCAGGTAGGCCACTGCTGCATTCGATCCAGTCGTCGGTCGGGACTGGGGCGGCCGATCGGCAGGGTGCTCCGCACTGGAGGATCGACCGGGTCGGCCGAGCCTGGATTGGGATCAGGCCTTTGACAAGCTGCCACCGGGGTGGGGCCTCTCAAGGGAAGGGGGATTGGAGCAGCTCTGGACGGGAGTCGAAGGCTGCCAGAGCTGACTCTGGTCCAAGGTGCCTCCGGCGCGCCAAGTTGGAGCCCCTGGGGTCCTCCTGGGCCTCGCGAGGGACCTGGGCCTCCCCGGGAGGGGACGGTAAGAAGGGGACAAACAATTCGAACCCCTTCGTCTTCGACCCCGCGTTCGGCCCCCCCCCCCTCCCCCCAATTTCACATGTGGCTTCGGCCTCCTGGAGGCCCTGGGGGTTCCACTTTTTGTCCTCTCACGCCCGTGCTGCCGAATGCTTGAGGCCATCTTTGAAATTGGGGTGGAGGGGGGGTGGTCTCAAGGTTTTCACTTTTTTGTCCATCTACGGGAGGAGCTCGGCCCGCCCCAGCAAAAATTTTGAGCTTCGGTCCAAACCGCGGCGGCATTCGGGTGACTGGGTGATATGGCGCGACGGCCCGACCCCGTGGTACAATATTTCGCTGGCGACAGGGTTATCTTTGCTCCTCCTCCTCCTGCTTCGCAAGAGGGTGCCGACATCCTCTAGGCCATGGGCGCGTAATACTTTGGCGTAATACTTTGGAGTACGTGCGTTGGCAACCAGGTGGGTTGTGGTGGTGGTGGTGCTGCTGCTGCTCCTCTCGTCTCCTTTCCTTTCCACCTCATCTTCCTTCGCATCCTACTCCTCTACCTCCTCCTCTTCATCCTCGGCTCCTGCTGATCCCTTGTGCATTGGCAGTCAGGTCGGCTCGCGCCCTTGGGGCGACCTGGGACGTCCAGGTGCTCCCGGCAGTTCACGACCCGCGAGGCCTTCCAGGACGTGGCCATCGCGTTCGACGAGGGCGTCGCGGCCCTGTCCACCGCGCACTTCGCGACCGTGGTGGGATGCGCAGCCGAGACCGATGGCCGCCGAGCTCGGCACGAGGTGCAGGGCGCTCCCGGCCGAGGCGGGCCCACGCGTGCCGTATGATAGACCCTTCTGACGCGTTGCCGCTTCCAGCGCTGCTGCACTAGCGCTGAGGCAGAAAGACGCGGCGCGCAATGCTTTCCGTTCCTCCCTCCCCTCTCTCTATATCTCTACAGTCTCTCTCTCTCTCTCTCTCTCTCTCCTGTTTCTCTCTCTCTCTCTCTGTCTCTCGCTTTCTCTCTCTCTCTCTCTCTCTCTCTCTCTTTCTCTTCTCTCTCTTCGTTTCGGGGGCCCCCTGTTTATCCAGCTGCCTGCGGCGAGTCCCGCCACCGTGCCAGACCAGCATTCCGGGTGGCGACTGTTCGAGAGGGCACCGGAGGTTGTCACGTGTGATACTTCGTTTCTCCAGGTTTTGGCAAGCCGTGATGATTCTGATGATAACGATGATGATGATGATGATGATGATGATGATGATGATGATGATGATGATGATGATGATGATGATGATGCTGATGCTGATGATGATGATGATGATGATGATGATCATGATCATGATCATGATCATGATCATGATCATGATCATGATCATGATGATGATGCTGATGCTGATGATGATGATGATGATGATGCTGATGCTGATGATGATGATGATGATGATTGTGATGATGATGATGATGAGGAGGAGGACGGTAATGATGATGATACTGATGATAATTGTGATGCTGGTGATGACGATGGTGATGGTGATGATGAAGATGGTGATGGTGATGGTGGTGGTGGTGATGGTGATGGTGATGGTGATGGTTATGATGATGATGCCGATGATGATGCCGATGATGATGATGATGATGATGATGATGATGATGATGATGATGATGATGATGATGATGATGATGATGATGATGATGATGATGATGATGATGATGATGATGTTGATGCTGTTGATGATGCTGCTGCTACTGCTGATGAGGATGATGATGATCATGATGATGGTGATGTCGATGATGGCGATGATGATGGTGACGATACTTGTGCTGCTGCTGATGATGAGATGAGGATGAGGATGGAGATGAGGATCATGAGGATGATGACGATGATGTTGATCGGCGATGCTGGTGTGCTGGTGATGATGATCAGGGACCCACGAGGGAACCAGCGCGCAGACCCCTGGCACCATGGAAATCCACCGCACCGCAAAGAGGGATGCCCCAGGCTATTTGCGAAGGAGGAGGCGCCGAATGCGCAACCGGGGAACCCAACGGGCCCAACAGATCAGCCTGGACGACAACGGCGTCGTCTTCGACCCCGACGCCGACAGCCCCCCGCCCCCCGCCCGTGCTCATGGACGTGGACGGCGACGGCGACGCTGAGGCCGCTGAGCAGGCCGCGGCAGGCGCGGAGCGGGGCCCGGGCGGCGCTGCGTCTGTGCGCCGCTATGTGAGCGCTCGAACTGCCGCGTATGGCAACGACGGCGACGAAGGTTGATTTGGCTGCGACCGTAGTCACGGCTGCCGCCTGCGCGCCTGCCGGTATGTCCTTTTTGTTCACTTCCTCGTATCGGGAGGTGGTGCAGAGCGCTCGCGGCGCGAACTTGCGCCGCCCCCCCCCCCCCCGAGCTCCGCGGGAAAGGAGGCGCCCCCCAAAGGGCCCGCCCCGTCAGCAGCGCCAACGTCGCCAGCCTGGATGCCAAGCGAAATGTCCCCACCAAGCTCTGGGAACACTGCGGGGCGCCCATCCTTGCTTTTAGACAGCCGCCATCCTGCCCATCGCCCCCGCACCGTTGGCAGGGGCGCCCGCTCACCAGAGAGCAGAGTCTAGCGGCCCGTCTGGGGGCGCAGCCCTGCAGTTGACTACGCGAACCGCAAGGGGCGCGGAGGGGGCGCTGACCACGGGGTGCGCTCCGCGGCAGACAAGCGGGGGCGCGTGCATATTGGCCCAAGAGCCCTCCTCAATATTTCGGAAGATGGCCCATCCCTCGCAGCCTTCTTCGCAACCGCGAGGCGGGCGAGGGCTCTCCTCCCCGTCGCTGCCCCGGCCGCCGTCGCTGGGGGCAGCGCGGGCGGGCAAAAGGGAGGCCGCCGCGGAAGGCGTCTGCGATGCATCCGTTCACGCCGAGCCTAGCTCCGACAGCGCGGCCCGCTTCCGCCATGTCTGGGGCGCGGCGAACAGAATTGGACACGCGCCGTATTTCATTTGCACGCGCGCCCGGCGCGACGTCGGCGGCGCTGCGTTCCCCGTGCGCATCCCCACCCGTAGGCGGACAAGCGCCGCAGCGAGGAGCCCGGGCGAACGTGCTCGAGCGCGTGGTCAAGATCTCGATCGGGGCCGTAGATACCCTGGCACTGGCAGGGCGCGCGCTGGCTACATCTTCGCTTGCAGCAGAGGTAGACAACTCGTCTCCAACTTCGTCCGCCTGCGGGAGCTCACCGGCAAGCAACGCATTGGGCTTCCCGTTTCGCTCGACCTCGATGTGGCCGGACATCCTGCTAGGAGATTGAAGGCCATGGCGCCGCGCCCTCTCGCCAACCCGACGATGGCCGAGGATGGACAACGAGGCCCCGAGATACTAGGCCGCGTCGGACAGGCATGCCAGACTCGCGTGGACGAGGCAGCAACGGCGCGGAACAAAAACCCTTCAATTTGGCAGGGCAGGCGGCGCGCCTCCGCGAGACGACCAACGCAAAGCGCCGACCGTGCACGGACAAACTCCGCGTATACCAGACGCCTACGCCGCGCCATTGGACCGCCCTGCGCGCGGGGCGGCCAGCCGCGCCACCGTGGCTCCAGGTACGCTCTGGAGGCAACTTCGGGCCATTGCAACGCGCTTGGCAGCTTGCCGGGCACACCGCAGCACGCGTGGCACCAGTCATCCGCTAACGTGGGAGCAAACTCAGCGCGCGTGGATCGCCGCCCGCTTCTTTGCCCGGAGCCCGGGACCCAGGAGTTCCCGCGCGTTTGGGATCCAGAGGAGCTACCAACTGATCTGCATCTGGACAATCCCATTCCTCCACAGGCGCAGCTAAGAAGGCGCAGACAGGGACAGAGCCAACCGCGCCAAGGTTTGGCGAGGCCGAGTGCGAGCCAACGACGGCGGCGGGGCGAGAAGCCAGTGCGTCAGAGCCGCCGACAACTCCAGCGTGGTCTACCTGCGCACGCGCCGCACAGCGGCCCCCGCGCGCGCCACCAGGCACCCGCGTAGGTGGGGGGCGGCAAGGCGGCAAGTTCTCACCTGATGGGGGCTCTGCCATGGACAGCGGAAGCCACGCAGACGCATGAGCCCCTCATAACTCGGGCTTCCGGCGGCCGTTCGATCCGGGCAGCCCCGGAAGCCCCTCGGCGATGCGCAGCCGTTGGAAGGTATTCCGAGGATGGAATCCGCCCAGAACCAACGAAAACGCTGGAAAACCTTGAGCCTCGGACACCTCGAGCCGGAAACCTCCACCCCTGACGCAGACCCCCGACTCATGAGTTGTTCATGACGTCGACCCCACCTCCTCCTACTCCTCCTCCTCCTCCTCCTCCTCCTTCTCCTCCTCCTCCTCCTCCTCCTCCTCCTCCTCCTCCTCCTCCTCCTCCTCCTCCTCCTCGGGTCGCCTACGGCCCTGGGAGACCCGAGGCCGAACATGGCGAAAATCCTCCCGTCGTGACTCCTTTTCGCAGCGCGAGGGGGTTCGGGGACGCTCTACCCCTCGCTCCCCCCTCCCGCTTCGTAGCCACTTTGGCTCGCGCCGACCTGGCCTCCCCGGCGGCCTCCCCCGCACCGCGGTGCCGCGCGTGCCGCGCCCACGGGGCCGCGCGCGCCCCGCTGCGCCCTGCGCCGCGTGCCGCTGCGCCCCCCGCCGCGTGCGGCGCAGTGGGGGCGACCCGGGGCCGGCTCGGATGGAGGCCCTCTTCGAGCAGGCCGCGGGGGGGCGAGTCAAGCAGTGGCGAAGCGTCTTGGCGTGCCTATAGGCCTACCAAAGAATGTTCTAAGAAACGCTTATGGTCTCCACGAAATGTTCTTAGAACATTTCTGGCTGGGACTGTGTTGTTTTAGCACATCGGGTATCTGTTCTAAGAACCTTGTTTTTGTCATTAGAACATTCTTGGGTTCTAGAAACATTTCGTGGTAGGCCTATAGGAATGCCGGGACGGTCGGTCCCTGCTGAACTCGGGGGGCTCGAGGCTCCCAGACCCCCTCGGGTCACGAAGAAATCATGACGGAGTTGTTTTTTGTTGTCCTTCCGGCCTCGGGGGCCCTCGCGGGGCCCGGGGACTGGTCCCCGAGAAGGGGTGCGGGCATCTCGTGGGTCGCGTCGTGAGGAAATCAGGGCGTCGGGCCCCCGTCGAGCAGGCTGCAGGGGGTCGAGGGCCGTTGGGATCCGAGGCTTCCCCTCCCCGTCGCCTCAGATCTGTGCGTTGACTTTGTTTCACACCGCGTTTTCGCCCGGTGTCGGGCCCCAGGACCCGCACAGACCGACCCAGCTCGAGCAATGAAGCAGAAGGATGGGGTCCAGGGCTCCAGTCGTGTCTGTGTGTTGCGATGTTGTATCTTTTTTGGCAACGTCGGATCTCAGAATCGCCCCATCCCTCCGTCACCGTCCGTCGGCCCGGTCTGTTCTTTGCTGTCGTCCTCCCTCCCTCTCCCCCTCCTTTCCGTCGCTCCTCCGCTGCTGTCGCTCTCCTGCCCGTTTCTGTCCCTTGCCTGGCCCTCCCCTTGGTCCGAAGAATGAGCTGCGGTGGCCGGCGCTGCCACGCTGACGGTACCCATACCGCTACCCCATCTTCGTGTTCCCCTTTTTGGGCCTCCTGGGGGGCTCTCGTCGCCCCCGCTGGGTTCGCCGCGAACTTCTGGGCAGAACGCCCCCCGGGAGACGTCCCGGGAGATGCGGTGTGTACCTTTTGGCTTCTCCAACGCCCTGGGCGTGTCCCCTGGGGCGCGTTCCCTCCGGACAGCCTGGCTAATTAGGGATCGAGGGCGGGGGATCGGGGGGGGGTCAGCGCTCTGGAGCGTCCTCTCTGCGCCTGTCTGGGCCTCCAGAGGCCTCGGACGTGCGAGGAGCTCCAGAGGTCCTCGGCGCTCTCCGGAGCTCTCTCGGGAGGTCTCCCGAGGGCCGCTGCGAAGGCCGTCGCGAAGGCCTCCTCGGAGGCCTCCGGGACTGAAGTGGACAGGCCATGGAGAAGATCTTCTCCAGGTGGACCCTTCTGAACCTGGCCGTGGAGCAGGGCTGGGGCGGGCGGGAGTCGCGCGCGAAGCGGGACCAGCTGCAGGCCGAGATCGTAGAGCGGCTCCAGCTGGGCTCCAGGAAGAAGCGCCCACCCGCCCACACGAACGTGGACGACGTCAGCGAGCTGGCCAGCTTCATCTACGGCCGGCTGGACGAGCTCTTCAATGTGGAGGCCGACGACGACAGCGACAAGGAGGTCGCCGCCGTGTGCTTGCAGCTGTTCACCTCGTGCAAGGCCGGCGATGCGTCGTTTGCGCAGCAGTTGCTGCACGTCTGCAGCCAACTGGCGCCAGCGGACCTGTCCGCTTGCAAGGGCACGGAGCACATAGAGTACGCGACGGACGAGGACCTCCTGCTCGACCAGATGCAGGGCATGGAGATCGACGCCGACTGCGGCGACGACGCCAGCGGCGGCGGGCTGGTGGGCGACGAACTTGGCAGCAGTTCCATGGTCCTGAGAGGCTGGCGCCACACCTGCCAACTCCAAGGTTGTGAGGCCGTGGTGGGCCCTTGCTGTCGCCGAGAAGGCGGAGTTGAGGAGGACGACGGCGACGGGGAGGAGCGGGGAGGGAGAGGAGGAGATGGCCCAGGCCGACGAGATGGGCTCCGAGCAGAGGGGGTCGGCGATGCGGCGTGACTCGGAGCCTGGTTTTGTTCCCCCCGATGTCTCCGATGCACCCGCGATGCATCGGCGATGCATCGGCGATGCAGCGCGATCCTCCGACCACATCTGCTCGGACCCCAGGTGGCGGCATTTGATGGGTAAGCGAAAGAGGGGGCGGGTGGTGCACGATTTTGCCACAGACGTTGGCTGTCCGGGGAGCCTCTTGTCCTGGGCCCTCTTGGGCTGGGGCGGGCCACAGGGGGAGGGGGGAGGACAAGCTGGGTGCGCCCGCGTCATATCTGACGTCCTACCCCTCCCTCCCATCCCTTACCATGGCGTAGATCTCCTCTCTATTCGCACAGTCGGATGTCGTAGCAGGGCATAGCAAAGGGGGAGGAGGAAGAGGAGGAGGCGGGGAGGCACGACGATTGCTGCATGCAGCTGGTGTCGGGCCCGCCGCCGGTCGCTTTCCTCGATGCAATGGCGCCTCCGGCGCTGGGAGGCGCTGGGAGGCGCCGGGGAAACCTGTCGCGTGCGCTGGGGAAGCCAGTTGGACGGGTCTTGAGGCCGCCTGAGCCGCCTGGCCGGGCTGACTCGTGGCCCTCTTGGCCTGGACGCCCGGACATCCTGGTCAGGCAGGCCTGCGGCCAGGAGGGGTTCTGGTTTGGGAGCAGGCTTGCCGCGGCTGGAAAAGCCTCTCCGCTCCTCCTGCGGGCTCCCTCGTCGCAGAACGATGACTGATGTATGAGGATGATTAAGTCGGTCTGGGGTGTCCTGTAACGCTCTGGAACGGGCTGCAGCGCACGATAGACCCGCACGCTCTCAGATGTTCCCGATTCATCCCTATCAGGATTCATCCTCATCTTGCTCTCGTCTTAGATGATTGTTTGCAATCTGAGGGCCCTAGAATGTTGAAGTCTTGAACCTTCCCCCAGGTTTGCTTCTAGGCCTGGATCAGTTCCTAGAGGCTGAAATGAAGGAAACACAGAGAACAGTTCGCCGTTGGCGTCCCACCGCGAGCCCGAATGGCGAGCATAAAATCGGGCGTAGCCCCGTAGAAACAGCCAGGGGTTCGCCACCCAAGGTTTGAGCCAAAGGTTGCACTACCATGGGTTACGCCATTCATGGGTTTGTGCGCCGTGTGGTGAGTTGCGCCATTGGCTATACCATGGGTGGCGCCACAGGTCGCCCTATCGGGTGCCAAAAATATTACAGCCTGTTATTGATTGCGCCATAACTAGGTCACTAAAACGGCTGCCGAATACAAGAACGGCTTGCTATTCATTGCGCCATAAGTTGCGCACTCGGCTGCAGAACATCCAACGGCCTGCCATTGGTTGCGTCCTAGGTTGTGCCATCGTCGGCTGAGCAGAAACATCCTGCTATTGGTTGCGCCATAGGTTGTGCACTCGGATGCCGTAAAACAATCGCTTGATAGCGGTTGCGCCATAGGTCGCGCTCCCGGCCTCTAAACAGACAAAGCCGGCCATTGGTTTCGCCATTGTTTGTACATTGGGCCGAATTATAGCATGGCTTGCTACTGGCTGCGCCACAGGTCGAGGGCTCGGCTGAACTTCAAACGGGCTTGTGTTTCGTTGCGCCATGACTTGCGCACTCGACGGCCGAAATTGGAATGGCCTGCCAACAGGTGCTGCCAGTCCAGCCAGCCAGTCTGCCAGTTCACCTCCGGAAAACCTGCGTCTGTCCTGCGCCCACAGAGCGCTGGGTTGGAACCGAGCGCAACCCCACTCGAACGGGCATCCGATGCATTGACTCCATCGACGCGCGGCCCACGGAGGACCCGAGCCCTATCCCCGGGGGGCAGCCTCTGGCCCTGGATCCACTGCATGATTCGGGGCGCTCGAGATGGGTACGGGAAGAAGGGCCACGATGCCCAGCAGCAGTTCCTGCGCATTCTGGGCAGGACTCGATGTCCGCGCCGCCGCAGGCGGTGCTCTTTGAGGAGAGAAGGCCGCCTGCCCAACAGCGGCCGCTGTCGGTTTTGGGCAACCCTTTTTTTGTGTTGGGCAGCGTGCCCATCTCTTCCGTGCACATCTCGGGCGTCCGACATGCTGCCCCCCAGGCCCGAGAACGGCCCCCAGAGGCCGAGGGGAAGAGGGGAGAGACGCCCGCCGAGGTCCCCGCCCGCTCCCCACGAGTCGGAGAGGGCGAGGGCCCTGGTGGAGGTGGAGGAGGTGGTGGTGGTGGTGGAAAACAAGCCCGTCACCTCGCGTTGCGAACACACTGCGACGTGAGGTTTTTTTCGCCATTTTCGGCCGCCGGGGGCCGGGGCGGCGCGAGCCAAAGTGGCCACGAAGCGGGAGGGGGGAGCGAGGGGTAGAGCGTCCCCGGACCCCCTCGCGCTGCGAAGAGGAGTCACGACGGGAGGTTTTTCGCCATGTTCGGCCTCTGGTCCGGGGGGCCTCACGGGGTCCCAAGGACGTCAAAAGAGGACTCTGCAGGAGGAAAAAGCGGTCCCGGGGAAGGGGTCCAGACTCTAGGCCTCGGGGGGTCAACGCTGGGAGAAAAAATCGCGACGTCGGGGGTCTCGGCTGGCGGCGCACGTGGCCAGCGGCTCGGCAGCAGGCCAGCCCCGTGAGGGACTGCGCCTGGGCGGCTGGCTGGTGGAAGCTGTCTGCCCTATCCCTGGGGTCCGACGCTGCAGCCAAGAGAGCAGCATCGGGCGAAAAAGACCACGACCAGAGCCCCATGACCAGCTGGGGGAGAGCGCCCCCAGGGGCCCATGGCCCGTGTCTCTCCGTACCCGGCTGCCTGATGCCAAGCCTTCCCTCGGGCCCGACGCTGCGACCGCGAGCCGCATCGACCGGCGAGGGTCCCTTCCGCCGCCCCGTCCTCGTCCTCTTCGTCGTCCTCCTCCTCCTGCTCTTCCACCTCCTCCCCCTCCTCCTCTTCGCCCTCCTCGTCCTCGTCCTCGTCCTCGTCCTCGTCCTCGTCCTCCTCCTTTTCCTCCTCCTCCTCGTCCGCTGTGACAGCTGCAGCGCGCAGGCACGGCGGGGTCGTCGGAGATCCGGAGCTCGGGACTTCCCGCGCTAGGGCCCCCCCCGGGGGGGGGTGCCGGCGGAGTGGCGACCCTTCGGGCAAGGGCGTCGACACCGCGGGCGCCACCGCGCTCGACGGCGCCGCCGCGCTCGAGGGCGGCGGCGCGCTCGAGAGCGGCGCGGGCGCGGCGCGGCGGAGGCCCGAGCCGCAGGTCGACGAGGACGGCTTCGAGGTCGTCACCAGCGGCCGGCGGCGCAGATGAGGCTTCTCCGCTGCCTCTCCGCGGGCGGCGGCGTGAGATCGGGGGGGGGGTGCCCGCTGTTCTGGTTGGCCCAGCAGGGGGTCCAGCGACGAGAGGGTGAGGCAATAGATTTTGGTGCCATCGATCTGTGGGGTTGCAGTACAGATGTGGGGCGTGCAATACCTCCAGGTGCGCAGATGTGCCGCTGCACTGTCGCTTCCAGTGCAATGCGTTGCAGTGCAATGCAAGACAATTCTCTGGCGCAGTACATCTGCAATAGAATTGCCCCAGATCGATTGCACCACCCCCTTTCAGCTGGACCCCCTTTTGGGTCAACCGAAGTTGTGAGGGTTGGCCGCGCGCCGCCAGTAAGACCTCGCTTCTGCCAGCGCGGCGGCGGGGAGGCGGCCGTCCAGGCCACTCGCGATTTTTTCGCGGCAGCGCCACGGCTCCCTCGTGAGGGCTCGCCTGTGTTGGCGTGGCCCTTCCGCTCTTCCTCCCTCCCCGTTCCTGCTCTGCTGCTCGGACGGGGCGAAGACGAGGATCAATCTGCTCCACAGCGTTCCGGAACGCTCCCAGAGCGTTCCGGAACGCTCTGCGAAGGCCGCGGCGACCGAGACATCTTCCAGAGCCGCTGGATCTCAGAGATTCCCGACGTATGTTCACCCTATTTTATCCTCGTCCTGGTTTCGTCTCGGTTGCCGCTCTTCCTCCCTGCTCCCCGTTTCGGCCCTGCTGCGCGATTGCAGTGGCAGCGCGGCCTTGAGTCGCAGCACTGACGGGCGAGCTGTGGGGAGGACTGTCGGGCCAGTGCGCTCCGAAAGCATGGCGCGCAGGGAAGACGAGGACAGACAGTGTTTTGACGTGCTCCGCCATGTTGGGTCTCGGGGGGATCCCTCGTCGCCACGGCTGGATCCGCCCTGAAATCCTTGATCAAAGCGTGCGTGCGTCGGGACAGGCTCAGGGATCGGTTTTGAGGAGGAGACATGACGGGGGAGGAGGAGGAAAGGAATAGGAGGATGAGGAGGCTATTGTCAGGCTTCCCTAGGATTGGAACAAGTCATTCCAGAGCATTCTGGAGAGCTCTGGAATGACCGCGGTGCACGATGCATCCTCCAGGTCGCCAGCTCTCAGACATCCCTTAGGCACCCGTACCCGATGCTGCTCGTATCATGCCTCGTCTTAGCTTCCCCGTTTTCCTGGAGGAGGACGAGGAGGACGAGGAGGTCTCCGAATGTCTCCGACTGTCTCGGGAGGCATCTGGGGGCCCAAGGAGGGCCAAACACATCACAACACATCGATCGCCTTCGTTGTCCTCTTCCTCTCCTCCTCCTTCCGAGTGATGGTGATGATGGTTTATGACGGTGGTGGAGCGAGACACGGCAATCGCGACCGCGGGGAGCAGCCGGAATGAGGAGGAGCCAGGCGCGGGTTGCGGCCTGGGGAACGCCCAGCAGGATCACGTGCTCGGATCGGACGAGAACGGGGGATAGGGATACAGGGGCTCACCCAGAGGAGGAAGAGGTGTCCATACTACTACCCTCCCCCCGCTTTCCCCCTTTTGGGCCTCTCGTGAGGCCCTCGTCGCTACCGCCGAGTTCGCCTCGAAATTCTGGTCAGAACGCCCTGGGAGAGGTTCGGGGAGTAGCGATACCGGTACCTTGTGGTCTCCCCAGTCATGACGCTTGCTGCGTGCAGCTGGCTTCGGCCCCGCCGCCGCGTGCCCTCCTCGATGCACCTGGCTGGCTCCCCCGGCGCGGCGCGCGGAGTCGCGGGGAGAGCTGGCCATATTGGAGCTGCAGCCGCTGACCCTCCATCTGCTGCCCCCCCCCCCGCTGCTCGGCCCGGCAGGCGCACGAGCGCGCCTCTCCAAGGCAGGGCGCTCCAGAGAGGGCCGTGCCTCTGACGGCCGCGGGGCGGCTGCCGTGTCTTCCTCGGCGGGGGGCCGGCGGCAGGCGGCCGCAGCCACTTCGGGGCCCTCCCCGGAGATGGCAGCACTTGTGGGTTCCGGGTCTGCGGGACCCGCCGGCTCACGGCGCATGGCGCTCGACTTCGTCAGGCAGCTTGCCCCTGTGCTCGCAGGTCTGTGGATGGCGTTTCATCTTTGGCCGAGCGCGGGGACGATGAACGCAGTGTGGTGCAGCAGTTTGATGGGCAACCTCTTCGCCTTTTTTCTGACCCTGAGCTGATCGATTGGTTCGCTCTCGTGGACGCGAGAAAGATCTGGGCTGCACATTCATCGATTCGCATTCCTCCTCCTCGCTGGGCTCCACCACCCGAGGTTCCATCGCAACCCGGGGCCCAGCGCGAAGTCGGAGACTATGGCTGCACGGTCCCAGGGCGCCCTCGGAGGTTTCAGAGTAAACGCAAAGTTCTATTTCATCTACATCATCATCATGGCCTCAAATCGTTTCGTGGGACCGCTGTGGTAATCAACCCATGTTTTGCGTGCAACAGTGTATTCGAATCAAAGAACTCAGCAAATGAAACGTGGTCGAGACATCCCAGAATGGCATTTGCGTGGCTAATCTCAGTGCGACGTTCAGAACACCTACACCAGTATCCTCTGATTGTCCGTTGTGCGAGGCTCAGGTTTCAGATCCTTCTCAGCTTTCCAATAATGCGCGTTCGCACTTTACTCGGCGACCGCTAATCTTCGACAGTGGAGCTCATGCGCACCCCGCCGTGGCAGCTCGGGAGCAAGCGTTTGCCCAGCACGGCGCCAGGAGGCGACGAGCGATGGCAGCGACTGGAGGAGGGGGTCATGCAGCAAGCCCGCCATGAACTCAAAGGCAAGGACGGAGGCATCATGGCGGCGCTGCCGACGATCTTGCGCAGGCTTTCACTCACCACTGCGCGCGATCTCGCGGACATCACGGGCGTTGCGTTCACTTGTTTCCTCTTTTCAGCGGCGGTGCCTCTCATCAAAGTGATGCAGACAGCTGGACAAGACTACGCGACGGACTGCAAAGAGCAAGGGACGAATCGCGACAAAGGACCCCACGGCCCCACATATTCATGGCGTTGGTGGGCCAATTCCTGACGGCGCTCGCGGACAACAAAGAGCCAGTGGCGTCCCACGCGTTTGCGGTTCTCAAGCACTACTGGGTCCTGTCGATCATAGAAGATAAAGCGGAAACTCTTTGTATCCTCGTAGAACACGCACGATGTTGCCGCACCAGAGCGCGCTGGTTCAACAAGAAGGCAGGCAAGACGGCGGCGGACGCGTGCGAGCTTCAGTTCATGATGAGCCCTTACTTCCTGAGTCAGGTTGCGACGGTGGATTCTCGACCCCCGATGGCGGTTCATGCGGCGCTGCAGGTGTGCATTCCTTAGGCGAGCGGCAAGTTGAAAGCAGGTGCGGCTCCCAAGGGGGCCTTGGAGAGAGATGCAGAGCGCTTGCTCCAGAAGTTCGGGATGGCACTGGAAGAGATTCAGAAACACTTGGCGGCGTAGATCTTGAGCGGGAGGCCCCTGCCATCGGCGTGCAATGCTTTCATGTCTGGACCGCGTGCGGCCCTGCACCTTTGGCAGGGGCCAGGACAGAGCCTATCCCACATATATCTGACGGCAGCACGGCGTCACCTCTTGCCTCGTCGACGGCGCCAGCGACACCCTCCGCTCGCCGATCGACCGTTGCGTCATCGTCTGAGGCTCCTGCTTGCTCTTCTGCTCCAAGGATCAGGCAGCCTGCTCGTCTCTCTTCCATGTGTCAGTCAAGTCGAACGGTCGAGCTGGCCCAAGGCGGCCACATCGGACACCCGCAGCTTGTAAAATTGCAGGAGAAAACGCTCCCCCCCATTTTAGAATACTCCTCGGACAGTGTCAAATTTCAGGCTTATTAACAGGATCCTCTGGAGTTTCGTTTGGCGGTGGTTCAGGCTCTTCAGAGAGCCGCTCCGGTCAGGAAGGTCTCCACTGATCTCGCCTCCTCCCCGTTTTCTGCTGATGCGCGTGCTTCAAGTTCGCTGCTTGCCCCTCCTCTTCCTCCACCGCCGTCCGAGACCATCGAATCTGATCAGGCTGAATTTCGAACACAACGCCACGGCCCCCTCCGCTGCTCGTTGCCCTCCCCTCCTCCCTCCCTCCCTCCCGCGGCTGTTGCTGCTGCCGGGTCTTTTCCTTCTCCTGGCCTCGTGTGTGTGTGTGTGTGTGCGTTCGTGCGTGCGTGCGTGCGTGCGTGCGTGCGTGCGTGCGTGCGTGCGTGCGTGTCTGCGTCTGCGTTGGCGGTGTCCTGTTTCTTCTCACCCGTGTCTCCCCTTCGTTCCCTTTTCGTGTCGCTGCTGGGCTGTAGCCCAAGATTGACCTGGGGGAGATTTTCGACTTTCTTCTAATGCGAGCCTGCCGCTGGGTGAATGGTGCCCATGTAGGCCGTCGCGGGCTCTTCCCCTTTGGACGGTCCTGCTTTGGGCCAGGCTCCCCCCCGCGAAGCTGCAGGCTATATCCCCGTGCTATCCGCTGATCCTTATACATATATCGCGCTCGTTTGCTAAGGGGTGCGCCGCAGTGGAACTCATCAGGGCCGTAAGCGTTCCAGTCCAGTCCAGTCCTCCCCCTCCTCCTCCTCCTCCTCCTCCTCCTCTGGGGCGTCCGGCCTTGTGACGGTGCTCGATGTCGCTCCCGGGCCCCGGCGACAGCAAGCTACGATGTCTGGGAGGGGGGCGAAACATTGAACGAGTCACGACGTCGGAGGTGTCCGGGGTCTCGGCCGGAGAAGCCACCCTTCTTCAGAGGGCAGGCGCTGGAACGCGACAGCGAAAATCCTCGCGTTCCGTTTGGCGCGTGGCGCGACTATGCGTCAAGTTGGCGGCGGGTCTGGTGGCGGAGGGCCGGTGGGAGCAGGAATTCGGCACCGACATTTCTCTCCCCAGACGCCCTCGCGTTGTGAAAAGACTGGAAGTTGTTGGTTGTCTTCGTCCTCTCGGGGCCCTTACCGGGGCCCCGGGACCGTCAAAAGAAAGGCTCAAGATGAGAAGCCGGTCTTTTGGGGGTCGACGTCATAAACAATATCATGACGTCGGGGGCTTGGGGCCAGAAGTGCCCCTGGCCCAGGGTGCGCCCAGGGTCTCCACAGAGACCCCCCCGGCCTCTCGAGCAACCCCAACCCACGAGGCGCAAAAGACCCCGAGGGGCTCCACGGACGGGGGTTCCATGACCGAGCGAAGAGCTGAGGGCACCTTGGGCCAGGGGCACCTCCATAGCAGCCCCCGACCCGCACCGCGCTGCCGCGGAAGGCCCCGCCTGGCGGCCGCCATCGCGGCCCGACCGGCCTGCGCGGTGCCTCCCCAGGGCGGCCTCCGCGAGGCGGGTTCCCTGGGCTCGTCGCCGGCGCGCGCCTCTTCTCGGCCTTTTCGAGCGGAGGATCGGGGGATCGAGGATCGAAGGTCTCGGGGCACCTCGCCCAGACCCCCGACGTCGTGATTAGTTCATAGCGTCGACCCCCACGAGGTCTCGACCCATTTTCCGGGACTGGCTTTTCATTCTGAGCCATTGTTCGGTCCCGAGGGCCAGCAAGGTCCCCAAAAAGCCGAAAATGGCGAAACACCGTCCGTCGTGATTTTTTGGCTATAAGTCGAGGGGATAACATGCTACGCGTGTAATGCAGTCAATGAAAACAACATGCAATTGGATCCGTGAATGGATCAATCCAGACTGAAGGCGATGATGCCTTTTTTGATTGTGAACTTGTTGTGATGCCCGCTCGTGCCCACCCCGTCCCGTCTTCATGGACTTCGCATCCCCCTATGATGGTAGGATGGGAAGACGGGCCGCCGCCCCTGGCACTGCACGTACAGTGCCAGGTTTGTGGGGATTTGGTTCGAC